TATTTATAAAAATTATTCATGATAATTTTCTTTCAAAATTTTAAATGCTAATTCATGTTATGTTTTAAGAATATATTTAATATGTTAAAATTGCTAATGATTATTCAGTTATTTTAATTGTAAACTAATTTTTTATAATTTATAGTAATATTTCTTTTCTAAATAACTAATTATTTAACATTATTTAAATTAAAATTTGCAAATCAATATAACTTAATTGCTATTATTTTGTAGTTAGAGGTAAATACATATATATATATATATAATTTGCATTATTATATCAAATTATCAAAAATACACACAACCTCATTTGAATCTCGTCAGGAAAATATCTGAGTTGTCGACTAGCTATGTTTAAACTCCTTCTTCTCTAATCTATATAAGACTTTATCTCTTTTTAGGAATTGTTATTCTTTAAAGCTTTTTTGTTAAAGCAAAAATCTAAAAAAAACAACTTTATTTTGACTTTTATGAAAATGTTATTGGATGATTATAAATTTTATACTAATTGTTCTATTCATAAATAAATTTAATATCAAATTACTCTAAAAGCAAATCAATAATTTTAATTGGTGTAATATATTGAGAATAAAATAATTTTAAAATTTATTTTTGATGTATTAGACCTAATAAATTCAACTTCAAATCTGTGGTTTTTCCAAAACTGTTCAAGTAATCTTATGATTTTAGAAACTTATGTCTTAATTCAAATATTATATATATTAATGAATATGTTTAATTTATTAAAGTTTTTAAAATGGGATCGTTTTCAAGTTTGAATAGGGAAATAATGAATAGAAATTAATGATACTTATTTGCTATAAATCAAATCCTTTCATTATATATATCTGTCAAAAAAAATTCTTTTTCATGAGATAAAATTAAAAATATAAACTAAAAATAATTAAAATTAACAATTCATGAAATAACTAGATTTGGCTAGAGTAATTAATTTATATGAGTAATTAATTCTTCAAATCGCAATTCAAAACCAATAAAATTATTTAATTTAAAAATATTTTATTTACATGGATATAAAAGAATCACATAAAGAAATTTAAATGCAAAAAAGACATAAGGAGAAAAAGTTGAGAAATCTAGCATTATAAAAATCAACAGATTATATGAAGGATAATAATTTGGATTAATTCAAAGAATTGTTCAATAAAAAAGATGAACTTGATGATACATAAAAAAAAAAGTTTTTCGAAATGAAAAATGAATTAAAAAAAGCTTATATTGGTCAATATCGTATTTTGACAACTGGTTGGCAGACCTAAAAATAGGAGAAATTATAAGGAGATAAAGGGCAAAATAAAACAGCTTAATATAAAAAAAAACACATTCTTGATGATTGATTTTTTATAAAGAAGTTTAATATAATATGAGTGGATTATATTTATTAAAAAATAGAATAGTATTGATCTTTAAATTCATTGTAATTGCAAAAATATTCATAATAATTGAATTTTCAAACTTATACCAAAATGAGATTTTAATGAGGATTACAATAATTGAAACTATCATCAAAATTAATGAGTGAATACTAATTTTGGAAGACTCCTCCTGTTGGATTACTAAAAATTCATGACAATCTTTAGGATTACTGATGCAGATTAGAAAATACTCAAAATGTAAACCGAATTAGGTTTAAGGTCAGGAGTTTAAAATGTATTTTAGACAAATTATTTATTGATAGTTTAATATGATAATCCACATCTAAGAATATATAATTTACCTTTATTCTTAATTTTTTTAAATTCTTTTCTATCCTGGTGGAGAGTTAGGGTTAAATTTTTATTGAAGGGATCTAATTTCCTTTTAACAATACTTGCATCTGGTTCCTATAGTTGGAGGCATCATCTTTAAACAACTGTTTTCACTTTTTTTTGCGCAGAAGATTTATTTTGTTGAAGAAATTCTACTTTTAATGCTCTTCAAGAATTGAATGTCTACTCCTGCATTTATATTGACTATGCTTTTTAATTTTGTATCTAACTGATGGGTTTTAAATGACTAATTGATGGATATTTGTGTATATGGAATAAATTTATATTCTTCAGAACTAGACATGCTTTCTAAATATATATTTATTTAGCAAAAATTAAGAGAATGTGGAGATGAGGCTGGAGATATAATCAATCTTATTCACCCATCTGAATTTTGCTAGTTCATATAAATAATAGTAATGAATAAAGAATATCTTATATCATGTAATTAGTGAAATTAATTAATCAATAAAATATCCCCCTATTATAATAACATTTATAATCAATAAGAATTGATGTAATAATCTCAAATATGTAATTAGTCTAAATTGTTTTCAGTTTGGACTAATCTCAATTAATTCTTGGTTTAATTGAAATGATTAAATTGTGAAGGTAACATAATATATTATTTGTTGTTCAACTAATCGATTAAATTGCTAATTTAATGTTCTTCATCTATAACTTCGTTTAAGCTTTCAGATGTTTTTCTAAGAGGACTTAATTCTGGTTATTACTGGGTGTAAGGACTGAATTCGTATTTTTAGATGGATACCATTTAATGGATAAAATTTATGCCTGTGGTTTAAAGTGATTTTCTTTTAATGTCATAATCACTTTATTCTACCATTTCAATAATAGTCTTAAGACTTGGCAAATGTCTATTAAAATTTTATTTTTGCATTTTGATTTTATCTTTAGTATTAATAAACCAAGCATGTTTTAATGCATCTTGAACCTAAATCCTTTTATTTGGATCCTTTTCCGTCATCTACTTAATCAAATCTAATTAGCAAGCACTAAACAAATATGGAAAATCCGAATCTTGACACTTTTAAAACTTAACCTATTATTAAGATATCAAGGTTTCTTTATTGTTAAGTATTCTTTAAATAAAAGAATTATTAAGTTTTTGTTACATTCCATAAAAGCTAACTAACATCAATATAATTCCTATTTAGTAAATATCACTACAAACTGAAGGAACTTAATTTTCCTTAATTTCAGGAGCATGTAGATAGTCAGGAACAGCGTGAACATAATAATCAATAGATTTTTATTTATATAGCTAAGTTAAGCATAAAACTGTACTTTATAAATTGGATTGATAACATAGACTCCAAGCTATCCTGATTAATTTACAATAATGATATTGTCTAAATTTATATTTCCATGAAAAAGATCTTCATCTTATAAACTTCTCAAATTCTAAAGAACAGAAAAAATTATAAATGCTAAATCAGCCTGAGTAAGCTAAGTTTTCTGATTAGATAATAATTATTCAAAAGAACTACCTATAAATTAATCAGTTAAGAGATAAAGTATATCATTATCATCAAAAATACTAATAATAGGAAAGACATTTTAGATGTTATGATTTCTTAATATTTTAATATAATTATTAACAATTTCTTGCTAATCATAGAATTTGAAATTTTTACGATTGATAATTTAGGCTGCATATTTTTTCTTCTTTTTCTTATGAGATATTTAATAAAAATTTAAACATATATTATCTTAAATTCTGTATTTTTTAAGAAAATCAATTTATTTGGCTGATAATTTTAAAATCTTAAACCATTCTTTCTATGACATAGGATGTGAGAATATCAATATAAGTTTTCCTCCGTGATTTTAAATTACGATCAAAAATAGTTAATTATGATGGCAATGAAATTTCTTTTTCTAGATTACACAGTCACTTAGTACTATACAATTAGTTTCTTAATATATTAATAAGCCATTAGCTATTGAAATGAATTTTAATTGCATTTAATTATTACACATAACATGACACACACCTTACATTTCAACATTTTCTATTTCGATATGCAATTCAATAAAGGACATCGATTATAATGTTGATTAAAGTTCGTTTATGTTAGGTTATTTTAGTACCCAGTCTAAGCAAGCAGTTGATTCTTTTGTTTTTAACTTGTTGAGTCTTTCATTATCAACTTTAATTACTCTCTTCTATTTCATAATTTCAGTATTTAATAATCTGATAAACTTAAAAGATTAATTTATAAATATCACAAAAAATCCAAATCAATTTTTCTTTAAAGATTTTTGAACATATCTATAATCTAATGATTTATTTCTCATTACGTTTACCACAATTATGATTTTGTATAAACGCCTCTGAAGTCATCTCATTAATTTCTCAAATGTAAAATTTTATGGTTTCTTTTGACATGATAAATGATAACACAAATTATTATGTCGCTGATTAAATTTAAGATATTGAATCTCAAAATTATTTATTATGATGAATATGAAGAATTTTAGAATTTAAAATATCATAATCATCTAATTAATGGATATATATATTACAAAAGCTAAATGTTTAGAAAATATTGAATTAACTTTTAATATGAAAGTGAAATTATATAATTATTAAAAAGAATTTTTCGAAAAACTTTTATCAATTTTCTGCGCTAAAATAATTTGATATAAATTTGAAAATTATCATTATTACTATTGCTCCCAAAATGGCATTCAAATTTAGTTTTAAAGTATTATTCTAATAACTAGAAGGTTATTTAAGAATATGAATCTTGAATTTACTTAATTTAATAATATAGATTAGATATTTTATTAGATTTATGATATTAAATTATAATCTCCATAAAATGATTCAATTATTTTATTGTTAAAAAATATTTAAATGTTTTTGTATATTTGAAAATATAAATGAGAAAGAAATCTGAAGAAATATATTTATGTTTGCAGAGTAGATTTGTATTATAACACAATAATAAATTTCATATTAAAGGAAAATCGTAATCCATGATATTTTCTGGTTTGTTTATAGAATAATTATCTTTATATTTGATTCTGTTAGCTATGTCTTTGTAATGATCGTACAAGACTTATTTTTTAAGTTTTTGAAGATCTTTTTCAATTTTTTATCTTTCTTCTTCAGGGTAATCTTAAACTAATAAAGATGATTTGATTTTTTCAACTCTGAAATCTTAGGCTGCACACTTCCCAGCTTTCCTTAAACTGATATTTTTATGGAGCTTATCCTTTTAGAATTTTGATTTATATTCTTCTTTTGGATCAATCATTTTTTTAATTTATTAATAATATTTTTTTTTAACAATTATTTATATTTTATATTAATAAGAGTGATAGTATTAAACAGTAACAAAGCTAAATGAGTCTATTTTGTAAATATCGTAATATAATTAATTTTAAATCACATGTAAAGTACAAATAATTCCTAACGATCAAATTACTTATTAAATTCAAGTTCATAAAAAAGAAGAGCTAGAATATTTGATAAATCACAAAGTTCTGAGGGAATTAATAACCCTAGCATAATTCCAATTTCAAATAGATAAATAAATAATTCTCCACCAATACAAACAGAAGAATTCAATATGCAAGGTTTATAAGAAAGTTAAGTAAGTGAGTTGTAGATTCATGATTTAAACAAAGTTAATCAATTTAAAAAAATGCCTGATTTGAGCCGTTGCAAAGTTAAATTTGTCAAAAAAGAAAATAAATCCACACAAACAGGAACAAATGATAAAGATATTATAATCAGATAATAAGAGGCATTAATAAATCAATTACAACATTAAATTTAATAATAAAGCCAATCCAATATGGAATTTTCATTTCATAAAGAGAATATGGATTAACAATTGCAATTAATAAAATCTTATAGTGGTATGAATAATTAAACAAATTCAAATAATGTTAATAATAGTTTAATGACAAACTCTCCTTATAAAAACCAATCGAAATAGTAATAAAATCATTTTTATTTTACTGCAATTCCTTAATCTAATAATAAATCGTATATTTTAAAACCTTAAAATATTGATAAATTGGTTGTCAAGCATACAAAACAAAAGTCAAATAAAGACTATTTTTTTTCTTAGATGGATTGATTCTTAATTAATTTATTTAATAAAATAATTATTAATACGCGGTTTAATGGCTTCATTAAAATATACAATTCTTTCTACGTCTACAAATGACAGAGAAACTTTAGCTAATAGTATTACTTATATTCAATTTCCTACTAATGACCATATTTGGATAGTGCAGAATCCAAAAGCAAATGAGACAATCGAAATCAAATTTGAAATCCCTTGTAAAATCAAGGAATTTATTATTTGTAAATAATTGTCATTAAATTTAGATACAAAATCATGTTCTTAAGTAAAAATATCTTTATACAATTATACAGATGATAATGTAAAAATCTAATAAAAACAATTAGAAAAAGTCAATTTTATGACTTAAAACTCTTTTAAAAAAATACAAAACCCAGATTTCGAAGACAACTTTTATTAATATGCAGAAATTACATTTTTTAGTTAGAATGATGAATTATCCATAAAATAGTTATAGGTTCTTGGATAATCAAGTTTAAATTAAACAATGTCATAATATTCATTTTAATCTGAAACCATTCCTATTAAATAGCAATCCATTTAATCATAATTTGCCTTGAATAAATCATCTGAGAGAGAATCCTTATAAATAAAATCTGATATAAAAATAAATCCAATCAATTAAATTAGTTAAAGAAGTGCTTAAATGGTTTAAAAATCATAGTAATCTTCTTTGTTTATTAAAACTTAATAATAAAAAAAACAATAAAATATTGATAAATAAAGTGAAGATGCTTAATTATTAAGAGCATTTGAAGAGAGTCTTAAAAATTATAAAAAAGAATTGTTAAAATAAGATTAATAAGAACTTGAAATTGAGAAATAAATTGATGAGATGTATTGTGAGGAAGAAAAAGATAACAATAATAAATAATAAAATGCAAAAAATTTACATGATTCTCTAAATAAACAATTAGATGAAGCATTAGTTTAACAATAGAGATTTTCATAACCAAAATAGATAATTAAATAGTAATTATTTTAATCAATCAACGAAGAGAATAAGAATATGATTAAAGTTCAAATTATGAATGAGAATTAAATGGTCGAGTAAGAATATGAGGAAATGATTTAGTATCATTCAACTATGATTAATAAAGATTTTGTATAATATCATAAAGCATTAGAAGAATCCTTTTTTAAGGGAACAAGTCTATTCGAATACATGAATTAATAATTTAAACCATTATAATATTAACATATCTATATTGTTAAAGATACATTGACTGATTTTGAATATAAAAGATTAGAATTAAAAGTAATTAATTTTGGAGGTACAGTTAGTAAATAGGTCACTAACAAGACAACAATGATAATTTCTGATAAGCCTATTCAATTAGATAATAAGTATAATATGAATAATAAAAGTTAGAAAATTTAATATTTATGTCTTGAGTACTAAACTACTGGAATCTTGTAGCATTGATAAATGGCCTCATTTTGAAAAGTATGAAGTGAGATGAAAAATTAATTTATTTGCTATTATTATTTTATGAAAAATAGAATTTTCAATATTAATATAAATTAAATATATTCATTATAATTTAAGTTCATCTAGCTCTTATTTATTATAAGTAGAATTATAAAATTTACTTATATATTTCATATGGTTCTTGACATCTTGTATTTTTTCACTAATCATAAGGTCATGTATAATTTAAAATCCAGAAAAATATTGCCTAGATAATTCTGCTGCAACAGGATCATTAAACAACTTTGTAAAATCTTGTCTAGAGAAGTTTTTCTTATGTTCCCCATTCTTTAAGAAAGCTTTGATAGCTTAATTATCTATATTTTTACTACCTAAAAATGTTGGAGTAATGAATACATAAATATTTCTTTAATAGTACTCCAAAATTTTTAGGTATGTTTTTAGTTTCAGACTTTTATGGCTACAGTTAATCCTTATCTTTAATTTTGCTAATCTTTCCTTTCTTAATAATTTTTTAAGATTCTGAATCCTCTTACGATCCTTCAGTTGAAATAGAAGTTCTATATTTATCATCTATTTTAGATTCTGGCATTTATTGTGTTTGTGCTTCATCTTTTACATATTTATGAAAGGAAGAGTTTGGATTAGAAAAATTGATTGTTGAGAATTTGAATGGTTGATTATCTAATTACTATTAAATCATTTGATTTGTATATATATAAATAATTATTTATGTTAATAAATATATTCTATGAAGAGTAGCAATTAGATGTTAAAGATAAATGTAATAATTTTGCATAATTTTAATTAAATAATAGATTATATCAAGAAGAACTAACATAATTGATATTCATTATTGAAGAGGAACAAAGAAATAGAATCTAATATATGTATCAAATTCTTTGATATAGAAAGTTTAAATTAATCAAAATGTCAAAATGGATTATTTATTCAAATGAAAAAAATAATGTTCTTTAAAAAAGAGCATACAATTATTATATATGAATATTTAAAGAATAATAAAGGATTACTTAAACTTATTTAATATTATTAAGAATTTATAAATAAAAATATAAATCTTTATTAACTGTTTTCATTTTACTTTTTATAATATATAAAGTAACAATTGTAATTTATTACACTTAATAAATAAAATATCATTTTTTAAGGAAAACATAATAATGTAAAATAATAAAATATAATATCAACAAATATTAATAAAATAGTTAAAAAATCAAATTTTTAAGGATCTTTCGGTTCTAATAGCTCCAAATTTTTCATTAAGTAAATTTTTAATTTTACAGTAATCATTATTTTTCCATGATTTTATTGGGTCTTATTATTGATTCAACATTTTTAAGGCCTAATAATATTTTGATGTAAAATACTTATGACCATGTAACAAATCTGCCTTTAACTCTTAATCTCTCTTCAGCAACTTTTTATCTAATATGATAATGAACTTTCTTCTCATATGTTCGATTATGTTTTTTTTCAATATATCTAATTACTTTCTATTTTCTAGCCATTTCTTTTAATGTTTCATGATTAGTTGAAGTACATAATTGTTCTACCCAATCTTCAAATTTAAGTGTCTCCTCATCATTAAGAATTTCATCACATAATCCAATTTTGATTCTTATGATATCATCAGATTTAATATAAGTAGATATAAATTCTTCTTGTTTTTGGGATGGTTAGAACCTCATTCTTAAATTAGATAAATGTTCATCAACATTATTTGGAATTGGAAGATATTTTGGATAAGAGAACTTTTTCTAATTTTCTCTTTATAACATCACAACTAGTATTTCTAAGTCTCCCATAGCATTATGGTCTAGTGATTACTCTGTGGTTGAGCATTCTTCAATACAAACTTTCTTTTTTTGATCCTCATCTAGATGAAATTCATCTAGAGTTTAAGGTATAGGTTTCTTTAATTAAGAGAGTTAATAAGGAGAATAGACAAGAACTTAGTCTTCTTCTAGATATTGTTCAACTTACTAAGATTAAAAAATGATTGTACTTTTTCATCATCATCTCTGTAATGTGGTTAATTTAAGAGTTTTTATTGGTTATCAATTTCTTAGATCAAATCGATGTGTACTTTTACTATTTCTTGATTAATACTCATTTGAAGATAAGATTTTATATTTTAAAAAATCCTTTGAATTATGTCTAATAATACATATATGATTAATATCCCTAGTCATATAACCACGAATATTATAATAAATTGATACTTTTTATTAAAGAATTTCTAATAATTTACTATTCTTATAATGAATATATTTATTTCAATCTATGTATTGAATACAAATATATATAAATTGAATAATAATTCTATGATCACAATTATATAAATAGTAAGTATTTCATATTTTATATATTTATTGTTTCTCTTCTTCTTCAATGACAGAATCGAGTTTATCATTAATAAGATTATCAATATTGGACATATTGTAAGATGATCCTTTACTACTAAGACTTTCGAATGAATTAAATTAACAAAAGGAAGGATAATAGAATTAGAAATCTGCATACTTTCTAGGACTTTTCGTTTATTTGCGTTATTCAATCCTTATCTTATAAGATGTTGGATTACATCTTTTAATTTGAGCAGCTTAGCATTCTTACCCAATTGAAAGTGTATCCTTTTAATAATCTAATTTAATTAGAACTTAATACTAATTTGGGTTATTCCTGAGAATCCTGTAGCTTTATCTAGTATTTCTTATAGAATATTAATATTTTCTAATTTGCAATTGAAATATGGGTGATCTAAACATTACTATGCAGAATATCTAGTTTTAGGATTAGGATTTAGCATAGCTTTCAATAAGCTCAAAGTTTCCTTTTATAATTTGAATTCAAATTCTTAAAAATTAATTTAACATTATTTATTCTTTTCCATAATTTCAAGAGTGTTTTCTGCTCTAAATAAGGTTTTCTTTGTTAATCTTTAATATATATATTAATTTAATTACAATTTATAGAAGATAACACCTGCACTAAATATATCACATTTTTAAGTAAAATAATCTGTATCATTATTAGATTTGAGAATTTCTGGTGCTATATATCCAGGTGTTCCACATACACATAATTTTTACAGAGGTTATTGATATATAGCCAATCCAAAATCAATTATTTTAAGAGATGTAATGTCATTTGGTTTTTATAATAGTATATTTTCTAGTTTGATATCTCTATGAATAATATTAATTGAATCTAAGTAATTCAAAGCTGTTAGTATTATCTAATTAGTATTTGAATTTAGATTACTTTAATTGCTTCTCTTATTTGATATGATGGTAATTGATCTTCTGGATAATTCTTAATGTAATTGTAAAGAGTATGACCTTCTAAATAATCAGTTACAATATAATATGAGTTCTCTCCTTAATAGATTTCGTATAACTTAACAAAACTTGGATGATCTATTCTTTATAGGATTTGAATCTCTAATCGTAATCTATTCTTAAAATTAAGAATAAACTAATACAATTCTATCATCTGATTTGTTTGATAATAAGTATTTCTTAGAAATACATTTAGCAGCATAATGTGATATACTCTTTTTGCATTTTACTAAGCAAACCTTTGAAGATGCTCCTTAACCTAAAATTTAATTTGAATCATAAAATATTGAAATGTTCCCAAAAAATACCCTTGCTGATAAGTATATTTTAAGTAAGTTTAATGAATTATGATCAGAATCAAACCATTTTATTCGATTGTTATAATAAATTCCAAATGCACATAATTCTTCATTTTCAGATATCTTCCACATTACTCTTGTTTCCCATATATATTATACAACATATTTTGCATTTGACATATTTTTATGCTAAATATTTATTTATTTTTAGTTACTTCACTTAAAATCATCTGATTATCATGAACTTCTAAATAATATGTTTTACTTTTCAATATATGTTTTCTTATACAACTCATTTAATAGATTACTTACATTTTATATTTTTATTACTTTTTATTAATATAATAATATTGTGTAAATATTGATTTGAATTTAAATCAATTGAATTTATTTATTATATTATATTCATTTATGGATCACTTATTTGATACTATTAAATATATATTATTAATAATATGATATGTATTGATAACAATTAAATAAATAATAGTCACACTTAGTGATCTCAAAACACTTTAATATATAAATTCATAGAAATCATACTAATTAATAACTGAATAAAATAAAATTATGTTTAACAACTACAAATTGAATTTAAAAGAAAACGAGCTTTATGAATAATTCAAAGATAAACTTTAAGATAATTTAATACAAGAATTCATTCAACTAATTGAATATTATGAATCATAAATTAATCAACATATTCTTGAATAAGAAAAGTTGTTAAATTAGATAAATAATTTGTAATTGCAAACTCAAAATAAATTAGATTAAGAATTGGCAAAGTATAATCTATTTCATTAATATAATAGCAATTTTTTATAATAAAAATAGATAAATTAGTTGTAAGAATAATTATAGCAACAAAATACATAAATTTCATTTCTAAATAAATCAATGAAAAATGTATACATAGAACAATTAGATTTGTTTTCACCAATCAAAGCACCTTCTCTCTCTCCTTAAATTACAAGAACTTAATGTATTATATAATATTTATATTCATTAGCCATTAATAAACAAGTTAAAAGAAAATTATTAATGACAGATAAAGAAAATGATAATTATGGAAATTGTTACAGTAGTATTAAAAAAGTAAGATAAAATGAATATTTTATTGATGAATAAGACTTTCTTGTTTATTTTAAGGAATAATGCATGAAAGAATTTTTAGATAAATAAATTGAAAGGGAATAAGAATTATTTTGTTTATGGTAGAATATGTAAAATTAGAGTTTAGAAAAATGTCAATAATTATAATAAACAATTGATTATGTTTGTTCTCAAATGGATGCATATAAATAGTAATATTATTAAGATATTAATCTCTATACTGATGTACTATAATAATTAGAGATTAGAATATCAAAATATTAAATTGCCTTTCAACACATTCTCTAAAATAATTTAACTTAAATTGATCTTAATAATATTATTCAATTAGCTAAAACTCTAAATACAGAATTTAATAATTTAAATGATTTAGATAAATTAATTGATCTACTTATGGAATTCAATTAAACAAGCCAAATATTTAATATGAATCTTTCAAACAATTAAAATATAAAGATTGAAAATATGCAAAACCAAATTTAGGAATTAGAATAATAAAAGAAAGAATACAATGATATTAATGTACAAAGATTAGAATTATTGGAATTAAGTTAGTAAATGAATAACAAAATTATACAGTAATCAAACTAGATTGAAGAAATGAATCAGCAAATAACATCTCTTACTTAATTATTTGCTAAATCCTTATAAGATTTAGAAAGAATCTAAGGGGAAAATGAAACACTTAGGAAATCTCATAATTGTAATACTAACTTTAGTAATACTGTTACTACAAGAACATAGGAAGGGAGTGTAAGTTTAAAAAATCATTTTATTGCAAATAGATATTCTACCTATATTCCTAGAGAAAGTTTTAGTTGCAAGAATTCATATAGAATTGATCAAAGATAAACTAATTTTAGTTCAGATTTTAAAAAATAACAACCTAATTATGAACTTGATGATATTTGTTCTTTATTAGATTAATTATTGAATCAAGGATATTCAAATAATACTCTTGATTTCATTAATAATGTAAATAATTAATATTATAATTATAGTTTCAATGTTAAAGTGGAAATTTTAAAATTCAGATGCTATGGCAAAAATTAAAAGATTTCTTAGTGATTGTTTACTATTCTTATAATTAATAAGATGATATTTTTACTTCATTAAATTAATTTATTGTTGATCTCAAATTACCAATCAACTAATTTGAATTGATTATTGAAGATGGTTTATAAAATACTACTAGTAAATTGGAATCTAATTCTATTTTATTATGTTAATTGTTACATAGATTGGTATCTGATATTCATGATATGAGATTATCATAAACATATATTTATGAATCTAATATAAAAGGAGAATCTCAAAAAGATTATTCATAAAATATAATGCAAGAATTAACTAATCTATCAAAATAATTAATTCATATTTGTTAGGAGAATGATGATATTATTGTCTTACAAATTGAAAGGTAGGTTGAAATATAAGAATAATTAAAATTATAAAGAAATAAATAATTAAGAGATATTTAAACTAGTACTTGTAAAATATTAATGGAATTATTTAAAGAATGGAAATAAAATTATCTTAATATTTCATAAATTTTGTTAATATTATGTAAAGGTTGGCAATAATTATAATAATAAAGATAAGATAGAGTATTAGATGGAATATTGAAAAATGTACATGATGAAATAAAATAATTATAAAAATCCAATTTAGGATAAATTATTAGTTAAGAATTGAAAACATTTTCATTTATATATAAATAATGAACTCTATAATTCAACAATATTTCAATTAAATTGCTTATGGCAATTCTGTTGCTCCTTTGACTAATCCATAAAGAGTTCTTGATCTTGAACACATTATTTTAATGATTTCATCCTATCTAGAAGATTAAGATATACTACAGTTTATATAAGTAACATATTATTTCATATTCCCAGATTAATTCAAAGATCAGACATTTGTCTAAGGAATGCAATTAATTGAATGTGAGAGTTTTATAAATTAGATTGAATAAATAAAAAACAATCTTAGATGTATACTTTTATTCACTATTTATAGAACTTCATTAAAGATCCCAGTTTTATAACTAGTAAACATCATAATAATTGCTATTTCTATTAATTCAACCAGAAAATACTTGAACAGAAATACTTTATAAAACTCTAAGATTTACTCAGATCTAAAAAGGAACAATTATAATCATAAATATAATTATAAAATAATAAACCATTATAAAAGAAACAGCTAAGTTTAAAAGTAGAAGTAAAATCAAATCTAGTTTCCAATAATGACATGGAAAATCTGATTTCCAATATTTACACTTTAATAAATGAAGAACCAAAACAATCATAGTTTAAACTTAATATTAAAATTGTATAATATATTATTTATATTAGAATGATATTACTAAAAATTTATGTCCAATTGTTCAATACAATAGAGTAAAACAATTTGCTAATAAGATTAAAGCCAAGAAATAATTTGAAGTTATACATATATGAATTTAAAATCTCATTTCCATTTCATTTTCAAACTCTTTAAAATTTCTTAATCAAATTATATAAAATGAGATCAGGCATATTAATTTATTTAATTATGTGGTAAATCATTAATTAATTAAGAAAGCAAATTTTTTTTAATATTACTCTTAATAACCATCAACAACAATGGATCAAGTGAAGAAAAATCCAATCGACCCTAAAGACAAAGTATTTTAATTGAGAGGTTCTGCAAAACCAAGAACATCATTCTTCGTTTCCAAGATCTTTTTAAAGAAATTTGATGAAGTTGAAATTCATGCTCTTGGAGATGCTATATCAGGAGCTGTCAGATGTGCTGAAACTCTTTAGAGATAGGGTAATCACTTATCTTCTCATATTAGGTCTTGCTACAATCCAAAAGATTGAAACCTTAACATAAACATTAGAAAGAGGATAAAAGGTTAAAATTATTGTATCCCTCAGAGTTACACCAGATGGAAAGAGAAGAATTAATGAAGAAATCAAATAATGAGTTGATTTTCATTAAAATATTAAAAAAAATACATATAAAATATTCAATCATATATATTTTAACTGAATATGAAAAGTATTATAAAATATCTTATATATATCTAATATTAAGATTCTTTAACTATTAATCTCAAACTAAAATATTAAAAGAAAAAATTGGATCATAGTTATGGAAAAGATTTTCAAAAAGTAAGAGGTTTTTAATTTGAATGAAAACATAAATGTTCTTGTAAAAAGATTTAGAATATTTATATGAAAAACCAAATTACCCTTTAAATGACTCTATATCATCAGATTGTGATAGTATTTTAAATGTATCTAAATAGTCTAAAAAAATTAATAAAAATATTATTAATTATAATATATCAATTTGATGGATATAATAAGGAGATTTCTTAGAGATCAAAAATCAAAACAAATTTTATGAAAAATTATATAGAAAATCAAATAAGAATTAAAATAACAGCATTTCTATTGTGGAATGAAAAAGAATGAATTTAATAGAAGTATTTAGTAGAGATATTGATAAATATCGAATTCCAAATTTTAAGAGGATTCTAATTCAAATGAAGAACTCAAGAACAACGTAATGAATATGAATATAATAAAATTAATTACTTGGAATATATACATTGTATGTAGACATGATTATCAAATATCCAAAATATTTTAAGTTTAGTTTTTAATTTATTTTAAGTGCAAAATATTAGTCTAATTTTCAAATCAAAAAAATAATGATTAATAAATATAATAGAATGAAAATTCATAATAAATTTCAAAAATTGTTATTAAAATAAAAAAGTCTGAAGAGTTTGAAATCACCTCTGGTGTTCAATTAAATAAATTCAAAAAAACAAAAAATTTTATTTTGGTTACATTGAATATGATTGAGACATTTGAATATATAAATCTATTTCTGCTTAAATTTATAATATCTTATCTTATCTTCTCTTTTTACAAAATTGATTTAAAATTTAATAATCTTCAATTGAATTTATGTCTTTTATAAGATTGTATGTAATAATTAATTATAATAGATTATTGATTTTTTATGATAAATCAAAAGTTCCTTTAATAGAATTTGATTTAGCTACCACTTCATCAAATGGAAATTGTAATCTAATTTAAATTAGGATCTGGTGCTTAAGGTAGTGTATTTTAAGGATTTATCAGAAGTAATAATTAAAAAGTGGCAATAAAAATAATGATGGAAATAAATTCAAGAGAAGAGAAAATATTATAACATTTAAAGATTCATAAACAAAAATATTTAATAGGAATTTATGCTGTTGAAAAATTAAATAATTAAGTTGTTATTGTGATGGAGTTGGCAGAAATGGATTTTTTTAAATTTATGAATACAAATCAATTTAAAACCTATGATGTTGATGAAAGAAGCGAATTATTTTTATAAGTAAATAAATCAATCTATATTGTAGATGGCTTAAGGAGTTTATTAATTTCATTAAATAGGCTACTTTCATAGAGATTTAAAACCAGAAAACTTTGTTTGCTGTCGTGATAGTAACCATAAGTTAATAATCAAATTAATTGATTTTGGTTGCTCTAAAGATCAATCAGATATAGGTAGATAAACATTATAAGTTGGAACTCCATACTATATGGCATAAGATGTTATTAATACTACAATCTATACAAAACAAATTGATATTTGGGCTATGGGAACTATCTGGTATGAAATGCTCACACTCTAAACATTTTTTCAAGGTAATAAATGATTTATTCAAGGTATTTCTATACATAACATTATTCACTAGATATCTACAATTAATTAAGAATTAATTGATGAAAAAATCAATAAACTAGATAAATGTTATGTAGAATTTAGAGAAATTATGAAAGAAATGATTTGCATTGATATCTAGAAAAGAATTTAGTTGGAAAATGCTATTGAAAAAATAATGTAAGCTCTTGAAAAAATAAAATATTAAAAGATGGAAGCAAAAATAAAAATAAAACTTGAATAAGAATTTTAAGAGAAAGAAAGATAAATAACTTATAATAATTAAATGAAATATGAATAACTTTAGAGATAAATGAAAGTAAATTAAGATAATGAAATTGCACAACAGAAGTTGTTGCTCAAGTAATAATATGAATAACAAATTATTAATAAGGAAAAGGAAATCAGGAAGATGATTGAAATTTTTAATAAAAATCAATAGAATAATGAAATTCAAAAATTGAAATCAGAGTTAAATGATTTATAATAATAATATTAATAAAAATTGAAATAAGAAATTTAATTACAAGAAAATAAATCAAAAGAGTATTTACTTTAAGCAAAATAAAAGGAGAATGAAGAAAATAAATAACAATTAATTGAATTATAGAAATAATACTAATAAGAATTAAATAAGAAATATTAAGAGTATTAAATAAAAATTGAAAATTAATATAAAAAAGATGAATTTAATATTAGAAAATAATAGTTAAATTGTATTATTAATTTATTACAAGATGTTATTAATAATCATTTGATATCTGTTAATAAATAAAAACAAGAAATGAATGAACTTGTATTAAATGATAAAGAAAAAGAATAAATATTGAATTAAATATAGAATTTTATTAGCTAAAAGTAAAATTAATTAATTTAAATAAAGGAGAATTTGGATAATTTTGATAATTAGGATCAAAATAAATAATTTAATTTTATATTAGAACTAGAAACTTAATATAAAAATTAATTCTTATTACACGATTAGGAATATTAAATGATTTAATAATAAATTTAATCTGTTATGATTTCTTAATTCAAAGAATAATAAAAATAGGTTTTATTAGAAATATAGTAATAAGAAGGAAAATAAATACAAGATGATTTGAGTCATTAAATCTTAACATATGATTAGCTAAATAAGAATTTCAATTAATAATTAAGTTAAATGGAATAAATTCAAATAATATGTGAAAATTTTTCCATATATAATCAAAATATAAATGATCAATTTAAATTATTAAAAAATCATTCAGATATAATTGCCTATTCTTTTAATAACCTTAAAATATTTTATTAATAATAAGAAAATACAGTATCTAGAGATTTAATTAACTACTTATAAATTTAATAATTAGAGATCATTAATTTATTAGAAAAATTGGAAGTAGATATTAAATTAATGAAAAATTATCTTGAAAATTAAGAAGTGGAATTAAAATAAGAAATGCAAAATTACCTTTAGGGAATGGAAGAAAAAGTAAATGAAATAGAATTTATGATTGTAAATTAAAAAAAAGAAGATAATGAATAACAAGATAACATCTTAAATTTATTATAAGAGAGATTACAGAATATTAAATAATAATATAATTAATTAAATACATTAATTGAAAGTGAAATATCTTAATCAATAAAATAGTACATGTAAATTAAGTAGAAATATTTATAAGAAGAGTATCATATTAAAGTTTTATCAGATAAATTATACGAATAACAATAAAAATAAATCAAAATCAACATAATGACAAAAAAATATTCTGAATTCATTATTCATATACAATAGATATCAAATCAATTTTAAGAATCAATATAAGATCTGAAAAATGAATTAAGCACAATTTAATAAAATTTTAGTTAATCAGAAAATTGCTCAATAAAAAATCTTTTAGAAGTAAAATAAATTGAAGTAAATAAATATTAAGAAATAGCTAAAAAAAGATTTGATGAAATATAATCAAAGGCTAAATAAGATTTATTATAATGTTAGATGCTTGAATCTCTAAAAGAAGAATCTAATGCTATATAAATTGAATTAGGATATTAAAAACGTTCATTAAGAAATCAAATTATAGATTTAAAGAATTAATCTTATTAGATATTAAAATAATTCCAATCTGATACGGATTAATAAATTTAAAAAATGAAAGATGAATTATAAATGTTAACCTAAGATTTTAGTCAATAATAAATTGAATTTATTAACTTTGATGTTAAAAATTACAATTATTAACATATAATAGAAAACCATAAAAAAAAAGAAGAAGAGTTCCAAAAATTATTTAATGAAATGAAAAGTTCTTAAGAAATATATAAAAAAAATATCTTGATAATTTAAGAAAAATATACACTATAAAATAAAAAATAATAACGATAGAATGATTTTGAATCACTTTTTAAGAAATTTGAAAAAAAAATGAATGAAAAATTTTAACAATAATCAGAAAATATTCGTGATATTGAATAATCTTATTAAAAAGTGAATTTTTCTGATTTAGAAAATTAAAATCAAATATAACAAGATTGGATAGATAAATAATCAGATATAGTTGAATTAAATAAAAAGTTAATTGGATTTTAAGGGTAAATTTAAGGGATGCAAAAATCTAATTATTTAGAAATAAATACATTACAATCAGAATTCAAAGATTTGTAGGATTAAGTTAAAGACTTCAGTTCCAAAATTCCTTCATAAGATTAAATTAAATCATTTCAAAAAAGTTTTAATGAGAATGATTAATCATTCCTGATCCTTTTTTCACTTATCATTATGATCAAAGCTTATAAACTTAAAATATATGCTATAAGACTCTCAGAATTTGAATAAAATTAAATATAAAAATAAAGCCAATAGAATAAAGAGCCTAATAGAATAAATAATGATTAAATTGAGTAATCTCAAAATGATATTAATAAAAAAAATGTTAAAAAAACACAAAATAAGTTAAGATTAAATTTAACAAGTAAGATATAAGCTAATGAAATAATGTAGAAATATAAATCATTCCTTTAATGTAAATAAATTATGATTTTAACAGAGGAACTGATAAATGATGAATAGTAACTAGAGAAATAAATATTAGAAATATAAAACTATATTAATACAGTAAATTATGTTAAATTAAATTCAGCCTTAAAGGATAGTTAATTAGTTAAAGAAATAAAAGAAAAATATTTTTAAAATTTAGAATTTTATTACTTAGATGTTTTTGATTAAATTAGACCAAAAAAAAAGAATTGATTTATCATAAATTTATTTATAAATAATAACTTGATATAAATAAATCAATTTTTATTTGAACACTTTTTAATATAATAATTATGATAAATTTATATGTTGTTAATAGTTTTTCTTTTTTAATAACACTTATTTTATTTTAAATATATACCTTTATACTATTCATTCATCGAAACCCAATAAGAATTCTTATATTAATTTTCATACTTCTATAAGGAAGAATTTAAATTGTAATTTTATATATTATATAATAAAACAATATAGAAAATTATTAATCAACAATTTATTAAAAATTGAATTTTTAGTGTTAATTTATTTTTCACTTAAACTCAAAGATTGAGAATAAGCAGAAATTTAATATATAATAATAAATTTTAATTAAATTATTATAAAGCGATTTGAGAAATTTAAGTGTTTTTAGAAATTTAAATATAATATGATAAAATCTTAGTATTGTAGCTAGGTGGCAGATTATAGTAGGTAAATAAAAAGATAGTCACCAGAGAGTTCTGCAACAATAAAAAAGCAAATTTACAAGAGATTATAGAAACGATAGACAATTAGAGAACTTTACAAATAAAAGTCATGGAAAACATTAGTCAAAGTTGGTTCATAAATAAAAGGTTTATAAGAAGAATATGATACAATTAAGGTATAGGGATAGATTATAAGTGTTGGAGATTCAGTTTTAATTAATAGTGGAGATCAACATGATGAGGATTATGTTGGAACCATAAAATAAATTATATCAATAAAAGAACCAACAACAGCAAAATTAATATGTTTGTGTAAAATTTAATGGTATATGAGAAAAAGTGAGATCATTAAATCTTAACCTAAATGTTCAGAATGGATTTCTGAACAAGAATTATTTATAACTAATCAATAAGAGTATATTTTAGCCCAGAGTATAATAACTAGCTGCAAAATATTGAGCTGTAGTGAATATCAAGAGTTGGATGAAATAGATTCCACTATTTATTTTAATAGATTGGAATGGGATCTTTAGAAAAAATAATTTAGTAATATGGATGCAATATAGCAATATTGTTTTTGCTTTCAACCGGTGAATCCCGATAGACAATATATTTAGGTATATCATAATATCATATTAAGTGTGATTCATGTAAAAATTGGTATCACTTTGAATGTGTGGGGATCTAAAATGGTACTTATGATCAAAATGAATTCCATTGCAGGAAATGTTAATGAATCAATAATGTTTATTTGTATTATTAATATACTGTAATATATTAGTTTTTATTAATCAAACAATTATAGCAATTTAAATTGGCAAATAGATGTAAACTTCATTCAAATTTCGAGCTCCATGCAATTTATAATATTTCCAATAGGAAATCATTGTAGAAAACGAAGTAATTTTTCTATATATACAACAGATCCCAGAATTAGATACTTTTGAAGAATTTTGTAGTAATATTCCTGATTAGGATAATCAAGACATAAACTTTTCCAAACAATCACAAACACACAATTCATAATTAATTCGTATCGATTGTTAATAAACACATGAATCAAAATCATCAGAATTGTAACAATCAATTGATTCAAGAGAATAAAAGAGCAAATCAAAAACAAAAAGTATACAGAGTTAAGAAAACGAACATATAACATATATGCAATTCGTTGAATTTAATCCTCATAGCATAATATCAGAATCATTTAATTAAAGGACAGATACATAATAAAGTTAAAAAGATACAATGGCAGAGCCTCCTGCTCCATAAAATAAAAATACAACTAAATTCTGCTTTCCATCTAAAGGAAGTGGGTTGAATAATTGTAAATGAATATATTAATTTAATATAGTAAAGAAATAGCTTTGTTTCAATTAAGATAGTTAGAATAATAATAAAAATCAAAGTAATTCAGAATAGACTGTCTTAAAAAATCAATCTTTATCTGAAAATAAAAATAATATTGAAGATGATTTAAGAAAATAAATTACTTAGCTTTGCAAAGAAAAAACTCAAATGTAATTACAATATTAATAATAAATGAAACAGTTATTAGAATAAAATTAATTATTAGAATAATAACTAATATTATAAAAGTAATAAACATAGTCTTTGAATTCGGATAAATAAATTTTATAATAAAAAATCAATATCTTATCAAAAAGATAGAGTGGAGATAAAAACCAAATAGTTGAAAATTGTAATTTTTCTGAATCTGTACCAAGTAAATTAACAAATAATGAGAAGATTTAATACTTAATAGAGAAATTAAACTAAAAATGTCAAGAAAATGCTAGACTTCAATACGAGATTTTATTGTTATAAAATAATGTAATTTTAATATTTTAATATCTAGATTGAATTATTAGAAACTTCTAAAATTTTATAATTGCCAAATAATAATATCTTCTCTCTAGATCCAGGTAAAATTACAAATCAAAATCATTCTCCTTAACCATAATCATAAAATAGAGCATAATCATTAAGTAAGGATAGTAGAACAAGTTTGTTGACTCAATAGAAATAACCATTAAATATTACTATAAACTACCCAGCTGAAAGTAAAAATATTGTAAATTTGTAACAATTTAAATATAATTTAGATCGGCTATGATTTCTCCATTATCCAAATGTGCTTAGATTATTTAATAAAAATAGTTAAATTAAAAGATTTAAAAAAATAACCCCTAATTTCAAGAAGATATTTAATCTTAAAAGATACAGTAAGATTCATTTCTATATTCAAAGCACTAAAAATTCAACATCAGTAGGTGAATTAATGTCAATGAAGTCTGATGCCATTAATTATTCTAGTATTATTAATAGAATCCTAAGAAAAGAATCATATTCAATATCATCTCCAGATGGTAGAGCTACTTAAAAATTCAAATAGGCTTTAAATGAAAAATTAAATAATCTTTAGCAAGATAGTTCAAAGTCTTATGGCAGTTTGCTATTCTCATTGGGGGAACATAAACTTAAAGAAGCTAATAATTGTTTCAGACAAATATCTCCAAAGAGAGAGAAAAAAAAATCCAAATAGTAATTAAATGAAATATAAAATAGGCTTTTCGGTTTTATAAATCAATAAAATTCAAGGAAGTAATCAGATTTACTCAAATCAGAAGAATCTCATCGTTCTGATTTAGGAAGAAGATCTGAAAAGTATTTAAAATTAATTTAATAAAGTAAAAATGGGATTGATCCTAATAATGAAATAATATAATTTATGAAGGAAATGCAAAATAAAAAATCAGATAGTAATCTCATATTATATTAAAATTATTAGTCTCGAAAAATATCAAATAACAAAATACTGGTACATTATTAACAAGACCTTTAATTGCAGACATAAAATAAGCAAAAACTAATCGTTAATTTTGAAATTATTAATATTTTTATTATATTTTAAGAACTTATTATTTTCAATATTAAATTCAAACTAATGAAGTGTTTCATATAAGGAATGATTATATCATCATAACTTGCCTTATAAAAATAAATTAATTTTTGATAATTAATAAATTTATTTAATTTACAGATAATGGAATATACAAGATTAGGAAATACAGGTTTATTGATATCGAGAATTTCTTTTGGAAATATGGTAAATTTTGCTCCTGAAGATGAAGAAGTTAATACAGAAATTATCAAAACTTGTTATGAAGCAGGTGTTAATTTCTTTGATACTGCCGAATTGTATTCTTAATTCTTAAAATCTAGTTATGAAAATGGCAAAGCTGAGGCTTAATTAGGCAGATCCATCAAAAAATTAAATATTCCTCGAGAAAAGATTATAGTTTCTGTGAAGATACAGGCAAATAATTTTGAAGGAGGAAACAATGTTAATAGGCTACTCACCCTTAATCGTAAACATGTAATTGAAGGTGTTAATGCGTCGCTTGCTAGAATGTAACTAGAATATGCTGATATTGCTTTTGCTCACATTTATGATCCAGATACACCTATTGAAGAAGTATGCAGAGGATTCAATCAAGTCATTGAAGATGGCAAAGCCTTTTATTGGGGAACATCTAATTGGAAACCTTCATAAGTCTAAGATGCGTTCAACTATTGTGATAAACATGGCTTAATCAGACCTGTTGTTGAACAGTGTCCATATAATATGTTTACTAGAAATATTATAGAAAAAGATTATGTAGATATATTTGAAGAAGGATATGGTACAACAATCTACAGTCCCTTATAAGGAGGATTATTGACTGGAAAATACAATGGCGGTATAATCCCTTAAGGAAGTAGAGCAGGAACTGATAATGGATGGTTAACTAAGGAATTATCTTACTAATTTATCTTTAAAAGATTTTGTATTATAATTATATTATACTACTTTAGTGGAAGATCCTGAGTCAATCGCAAAACTAAAAAAATTAGGAGATTTAGCAGAGTCAATAGGATATACTTAAACATAACTAGCCATTGCTTGGACTTTATTTAATAAAAATGTATCAACAGCTATAATTGGGGCCAAGACTGTTTAATAAGTGAAGGATTCTTTGAAAGCATTTGAATTATATAAGAAGTGGGATCAAGAATTAGAATAAAAAGTTGAAGCAATCTTGCAAAATAAACCAAAATAAGATTTTAATTGGTAAACTGGAAAACCTTTTCCTGATAGAAGATGAATTATAATACATTAAAACGTGGACATAATTTATTAATTTAAAATTATTGAAATAATTAAAAAAAAATTTATAATAAAAATTAATTAAAATCAATTGAAATGGAATATACAAGATTAGGAAATACAGGTTTATTGATATCGAGAATTTCTTTTGGAAATATGGTAAATTTTGCACCTGAGGATGAAGAAGTTAATACAGAAATTATCAAAACATGTTATGAAGCAGGTGTTAATTTCTTTGATACTGCCGAGATGTATTCCGAATTCCTAAAATTTTAGATATGAAAATGGAAAAGCAGAGGAATAACTTGGTAGATCCATAAAAAAACTTAACATTCCAAGAGAAAAGATTATTGTATCCGTTAAGATCCTTGCTAATCTTGAATAAGGTGGAAATCCTATTAATCGTGCTTTTACATTAAATCGTAAACATGTTATTGAAGGGGTCAATGCATCACTTAAAAGACTTCAATTAGATTATGCTGACATAGCCTATGCCCATTTTCTAGATTAAGATATATAAGTTGAAGAAATATGCCGTGGATTCAATTAAATTATTGAGGATGGAAAAGCCTTTTATTGGGGCACTTCTAATTGGAAACCATCAAAAGTTTAGGAAGCTTTTAACTATTGTGATAAGCATGGCTTAATCAGACCTGTAGTTGAGCAATGCATTTATAATATGGTAATTAGAAATTTAGTGGAAAAAGATTATGCTGATATATTTTCATAAGGATATGGATCAACTATATACAGTCCTTTGTAAGGAGGATTGTTAACTGGTAAATATAACAATAATCAAATTCCTGAAGACAGTCGAGCTGGTAAAGATAATGGATGGTTAACAAAAGATAAAGCTCATGCAGTATTTTTTGCATAATTTTGTAATTTTATTTTTGTTATATTTAAAGTGGGTAATGATGATGCTATGACAAAACTCAAAAAGTTAGGAGATTTAGCTTAATCTCTTGGTTACACTTAAACATAATTGTCTATAGCTTGGGTTTTATATAATAAAGATGTGTCTACAGCTATAATTGGGGCCAAGAATGTTTAATAAGTGAAAGATTCTTTGAAGGCAATTGAATTATATAAGAAATGGGATCAAGAATTAGAATAAAAGGTTGAAGCTATCTTGCAAAATAAACCAAAATAAGATTTTAATTGGTAAACTGGAAAACCTATACCAGATAGAAGATGAATTATAAATATAGATTAATTTATTATAACATATCTTTTTATTGAGTTGTGATAGATTATGTTAGAAATCTCAAGATATTTCTAAATTATATTACAATAACAATTTATAATGTATTTATGAGTTTAGTAATAGTAAAATTTTTAGATATATTTAATAATAATTCCAAAATTTATGGTTTCCTTTAAATTAAATTCTTGTAACAATAAAAATGATTCAATCTGATATTTTGAATTAGTTTAATTATATTTTAAGTGATTTATTTTATTTTTTTAAATGTATTAGAAAAACTTATTGATTAAAAGGAAGGTTATTATTCAATTATATTGAGTGAGTTGAATGATTATAAATAATCTTAGTTATCTTATTATAATTAAAATCCATTCTGAATAAATCTTAATTAATTAAAATAAATTAAAGAGAAATGAAACTATTAAATCTAAGGATGTGATTTCTATTATTAAAAAAGATAAAATAAAATTAAGACCCATTCTAATAGTCTCATTATTGAAATTGAAGTGTTAAATCTTAATTATTCTAATTTTTGTGATATATTAATTTCTATTTCTAAAACATAAATTATTTTTATTTAGAAAATCGATAATCTATTGATCATAATTAGTTATAATCACAAAAGATCTCAAAAATTAATGAAAGAATAAGGTTTGATAAGATTTTGTGGATGTTAATTAAAAATTTTAAAGCAGTGAAAATTGTTAATTTGATAAATGTATTTGGTAAAATTTTTGGAATGAATTTTGAATAATAGCAAATACTTTAGCAAAGACACTAATATTTATGAATCCATTAAATAAGTTATTATTGAATACTCATATGGCTCATAAAAGATAAAAAAGTAATCCATTTATAGTTGAAGCTCGAACACCTAACAGAATTATAAAGGAAAATGATGATAATACAAATACTTATCTAGTTTCATATGGTAACAATTAAGTATTGGAAGATAAAAATTACATGGAAGTAAATTACCCAGAATTAGTTGAGGATTATAATTTATTCATTACAACAGGAGAAAGATATGATTAAGAATTTCTTTAATAGAAGGCTGTTTAATTTGCTTTATTTTAATTACAAGAAAATCCAATTATAGAATAACATTTATTAGAGAGAAATAATAAAGTTTAGATTAAGTAATAGAGAAAATAAACTATTCGATATAAATGTTTGAATTTTCTTGATATATAAATAAATTCATCATTGAAAGATAAAAAGTTAGCATTAAAAATGAAAGCCAATGAAGGAAACATAACAAATTTTCCAAGTATGGAAAAATTAATAAAAATTACACATGAATTATAAACAATAGGATATACTTAAGATGAATTAATAGTAAGTTTTACTTTAAAGAATCATCAAGAATGTATAGAGGATAAATCTATGTTAGTGATTGATAGTCAAATTGATAAAAATATTAAGAGGAATGATTGAATTAGTCATAAAGATATTTAAATTTCTTTTAATAATATGAATTTAAGGAGATGTATTAAAAATAATTAAATATGTCTAACCACCATCGTAATCTACGAGAACTCTTTTCTTCAAAATTCTCTAAACCTTTTTCCAATCTTCCTTCTGATAGATTACGAATTGGTAAATCTCCAATAGCTGTTGGTAACTTTATACAATATGCATAAAAAAAGAACGCTGAAGATAAATAACAAAGAAATCATACTCCTGTACATACACCAAACAAAATAAGGATTGGGTAAGTGAATGTTAATGAATATGCATTACCATATAAAAATCCTTAACAAAGTTTTTTTAGTAAAGATAGTAATAGATCAAGATCAAAAAGTCCTATGTAATTATCAATTCAAAAATCACCAAAATAATCTACAATAGATTCAAAAAAGATATTTGAAAATGAAGACTCTTTGAATCTCAATCGATAAAATTCTCAAAAATTATCAAATCATAATAAATTTGCTAGTGCTCACCTAAAAATTAATATAAACGAAGTTCCACATATAAAAATACCTTAGGTTAGTTCTAGTACAAAAATAAAACCAAATATTTAAAATTTTGAGAGCATCTTTAATTCTTTATTAGTGAAATATGATTCTATTCAATAATAATCTCAGTAACGTCCACCAATCAAAAAAGTATATAAGGAAGAACAAGAAGATGAAGAATTATAGATTGATACATAAATTTGTGTAACTAAGTCTAGTTTTACTTTTCACTTTGTAATAGGTAAGGGAGGATTTGGAAGAGTATGGAAAGTTGAATTAAAAAAGAGTAGAACTTAATATGCAATGAAAGAAATGTCTAAGGCTAAAATAATAGCAAAAAGAAGTGTAAATTCTGTTATGAATGAAAGAAATTTATTGGCATAATTCAAACACCCTTTTTTGATTAATATGAACTACTGTTTTTAAGATAGAGATAACTTATATCTAGTAATGGATCTTTTAACTGGTGGTGATCTCAGATATCATATAGGACGTTTGAGAAGATTTAAAGAACATTAAACTAAATTTTTTGTAGCTTGTGTTATTTTAGCATTAGAATATCTACACACTTCAAATGTTATTCATAGAGATGTAAAACCAGAAAATATAGTACTTGATAATAATGGTTATGCTAGATTAACTGATTTAGGAATAGCCAGGATTTGGAAGCCTGAAAATTCTTAAGATACAAGTGGTACACCTGGATATATGGGTATTATTAATTAATAATTATAAATCTAGCACCAGAAGTTATGTGTAGATAAAATCATACTATTGCTGTTGATTATTTTGCTTTGGGAGTGATGACATATGAATTTATGTTGGGAAGAAGACCATATAATGGAAGAACGAGATAGGAGATTCGAGATCAAGTTCTAACAAGATAAATTTAAGTGAAAAGAAGTGAATTACCAGATGATTGGTCAATTGATGCTGCTGATTTCATAAATAAATTAATATAACGAAAACCTAATAATAGACTTGGATTTAATGGACCTCATGAAGTTAAATAACATCCATGGTTATAAAGTTTTCCTTGGACAAAATTACTAAACAAAGAGATATAATCACCATTTATACCTCCAGTAATATTTAATTTTTATAATTTATTAGCCAATTTAAGAGAATTTAGATTATATAAATAATATTAGTGAAGATAATGATACATAGGATGAATAAATTGTAGAAAATAGATTGTTATTAAAAAAGAATTCTGTATAAAGTAAGATATATCAATTACTTAGATTTATTTTATGGATATAGTTATGATTAAAATATCTAAACTTAATTAAAAAATACAAAAAGTACAAGTAGCACTTTAGTAGTTAGTTGAATATTACAATTTTGATTTGATAATTAATGATAAATATTTATACTTCTTATTATTCTATATAAACTTGTTTTTTTAATTCACAAATTCAAATTAATGATAATTTAATATTAATAGATAATACTATATTTAGCTTATAACTAAAATAAATGGTTGTTACATTTAGAAATTATCTTTAAATATTATTTATGAAATCGTAATTAATTTAAAAATGAATCTCAAATGATAACTCTAATTAAAATTAATAAACTGTCATATGTTAAGTCAATAATTTAGATTATTAATTTTATATAAACTAAAAAATATTATAAAATTAAGGATCAAACAATAAATAACAAATTCATTATATAATAATGTTTATTATTAGATCATGAGAATTACAATTCTCTATATCTAAGTAATAATCATCATCTATTAAAATCATGAAGACAAAAAACAATGACAAATATATCAATTTAATAAGTCTATATGAATCTAGAACTCATTCACAAAAAAAATAATATTCGGAAATAATCAGAAACAATATTCAATTAATTGATCTCATTTTAAAGAGATTTAATTTAATAACTTATGATTTTTAAGATCAGTTTTTTAATAGATATTTATTTAAGAACTCATCAATTATATTACAAAATTATCTAGAGTTTTTCATATGCATATTCTTATAATGGATGGATTCCCTTTTAAGCAAATTTCAAATGAACAATTAAATAAAATAAGGCTTTATGAGATAATTTAATCTATTTAACCCAATTATCTGGGATTAAGAGAAGCCTATAAATAGATCTAATTAAATGAACAAAATTCCTTTGGTTAGGATGACTAAACACATATCTTTGAGTAAAATATTCAGCTTTTGAGAATATTTATTTAAGAATGACATCAATATTAAAACTCTTTTTGATTTATATTCTTTCTGTTTATGTTCCTTTCATTGTTATTCGTCTCATTTAATTATTAATTTAGTTAAATACCTACATACATTTAAATAAAAAATTATGAAAGAATTAGAAATAATGAATTATAAATTTTATAATTAAATATTTAAATAAAGAAAATTTATAAGTATTTATCAATTTCATTAAAGTAGTTATTCTAAAAATGTTTAAACAAATAGAGAAGATAGAATTAATATAATTTTGAAATATTAAAGAGATTGATAGTTTCTAAAATTATATTTTATCTATCTTTAAGGTTAAATTGCTTTTTGCCTTTATCTTTTGCTTCATTTCAGCTAATCTCTTAGGGTTTAGACACTTAAACATTTACTTCCTCATAAAATATGATTTCAAAATCTTGAGTTTCATAGAGTTCAGCTAAAGCATTTTAATGTTTATCTTATTTTAATTAAATAATGGCAATTTATCTGTTTATTTTGATAACCTTTTTGTCTTGTGTTGTAATAAATTCAATAAATATTTAATTAGCTTTTGATAGACAACAATTTATTCATTAATTTATAATATTTCTTCATAATAAGTGGATAATTATTGATATAATTCAGCAACAAATCATAATTAGACATTAAAGTTAAGATTTGAATAGAATTCTAATTTCAAAGTCTTTTTTAATAAGTTCAGAGATTCTTCATAAATACATTCTTATTTTCAAAATTTATTGTTCATTTTCAAATATTGAATATTTATTAAGCATTTAGTGTTTTTCTTTTAGATCTTGTTAAATTTTATCTTCTATTTATTAAAATTGATCAGCAATATTATTGCCATAATATTTATCTTATTTTTTATTAAACTACTCTAATAAATGGATAATTTTAGAACTATCAAATTAATTATATGAATCTAATCAATTTAGTTAAATTGATCTTAGTCTTCATGATTTTAATTGTCTTAGAAATTAACTTGTCCATCATCATATTGATCTTACATTTTTAGAATTATAATAATAACTCAGATTCATTAATGGAAATACAAAAACAATGTAATCAACAGTACTTTTAATATAATTTCTTAGCACCCCAACATAGAACACCTATAGAACATATAGTTACTCCAATAAATTTAATCGCATTATATTTGCTATATTTATTAATAATTATATAATTTACTTATCTTTTTTATTGAAATCAGCAAATTAAACAGATCTATGTTTTCTATTTATTAATATAGTTGAATCTGAAATGATTTACTCTTATTATACTAATTAGGCAATTTCATAACTATTATTGACTTCAGTATCTTTTTCTTTGAATTCATCATCTTCTATTACTTATTCACTTTATTAAGATTGTTAAATATTCTAAAATTCCTCTTTTAATGTCATAGTACATCCTTTCATACAACTTGAATTAGATGTAAATGAAGCCAAAGATGGTTTACTTTTAAATCTTTTTCTCTCACTACCGAATTCCCAATTCTTAGATTCAGTTTTATTACTTAATTATTAAGGTAATGCTGATCTATAATACCATGGTTATCTTGGTGTCACTAAATAATATAATTTAAATTCTTTACTTTCTTCTTCTATATACATTCCATCAGTCATTAAAACAGCTTTATGATCACTATTAAGATCTTCCTCTACTTCATCTAATTCAGAAAATGCCTTATTATTTTCAGATGATTCTGAAATTAATCTTTTTTAAAATTTAGACGATCCTAAATTTTAATGAGTTTTATATCTCAATGTACTTGAAACCAACATTTTATCATTTTAATTATGATTACTCTTTTATTGTGGACTAAATGATTTTTCACTTTCACTTAAATCTTTATTGTTTATTTATGCAAGATTATTTTTTAAGGATATGACTTATGATAGATATTCAATCAATTGATTTTCTGTCTATATCAATTAACTTGATATTTATAAACTTAATTTCAATGAATCAAAATTATTGAATGATTCCTCAATAAACTCATTAAAATAATTATTTAATACATGTATCTTCCAATGAATATTAAGCACTTATTAATTGTTCATTAAATGTTCTCTTTCTTGGAGTGATCTATTAAAAAGCATCATTTCTTTAACTTTTAATGAAAAAACGTAAATCGTTTATAATTTTCAATTACTTCATCATTTTTTAATTGATTTCAAATCCATTCTATTCTAAATTCTGTAATTTAATCAAATTTTAATCATATTTATCTCTTACCTAATAATTATAATAATATTTTTATTACAATTTAATAGTGTTGTTTTAATTCATTATTTTTCTTCCTCTCATATATTAAGATTTTTTTGAAATCCTAATTTTCTTCTTCTAAATAATCACACTTCTCTTTACACATCGTTATACCTTCAATTAATTCTTAAAATTGCTAAGTCATAGGACTTGAAATTTTTATAGATTTCATTTGCTTATCAATACAATTCAATTCATTTTCTTTTAATATGATGTCTTCATTTAGTTTATCCCTCTATTTATGTATGCTACTTATATTGTCTTACAAGTGATTTATCTAATACTCTAATTAATTTATGTGATTCCCCACATTATTAATCTTTTAATTGCACCTTAATTACTAATGTTCCTATTATTTCTAAAAATATATTTCAAAGAAGGCCTTCATTAACTAATCTAAATTCATATGTTCATAAATAAGACATTAATCTGGTTTAGATACTCTGTTCAAGTAGTTTCGAATTCTATCTAATATCTAATTAAACTAGCCTTAATTTTTTAGAGAAACATCCATCGAATATAATTAAAATAAATTAATTTTAATGACGATATATCTGTCTCTGGATCCTTTCTTATATAAGAAATGTACTCTCAGTAGTATTACAATTCATCCTACAAGATTAATACACTATATTTATAAGCTGACTATAATAAATAATTAATTTAACATATCAAATTCAAGTGACATATGAACAATATACCATTGCAAGTGATTATGATTCAGAAAATTATAAAAACAAAGGGAGATTAAGAAGATATGATATTGCCAGACTCTGATTAAGAGGATTAAAGTCCAAATACAAATAATAACAATGAAAATGGAGATTTAGAATTAAGATTAAGATTAAAGATGAAGCAACTTAGATTCAGCAATTAAAATCAAATCTATTATTTCTCATAGAATGGAAAATCATCTCCAAATCAATCTCCTGTTCTTTCTCCAAAATATTCTTCCAATTCACTCTAATCTATTCTAAAACCAAAAAGTTGTTCCATCTTTGGATAGACAAAGAGATGATTTTGAAACAATTTGTTCTATATAAACTTAGTTTAAAATGTTTACAGAAAAGTATTTTTTATTTATATAGTATATAACCATTAATATCATTGAACATATATCATATTTTTATAATTTACAAGGATTAGAAAAGTATTTCAATAGATTAGATATTGTATTATGATAAAAACTATAAAAATTATAATAATTTTGATTTATTAAACAAGTTTATTTAATTAGTAAAATTATCAATATTTATATAAACATATCAGTTCTATGATTTCTTTATTAGTTTTCTATTATTAGGAACAGTAAATTGTTCATGATTACCTTACACTTCTTCTTCATCTGACTATATAATTATAAATATAAGATTAATACCATTTAAGAGTTTTTAAGTTACAGAAATAATGATGAAGTTTATAATTCTTATCTATATTAATTCTTATTTATTAATAAAATTATACTTATCTCATAGCTAAAATACATGAACCTAATTAGAATGGTGTTAGACATTCTTTCAATTATTCCCACATTTAATCAACTTTTAAAGCTTCACTTTATATTAATTTCAATTATTCTTTTATTTTTTGTATTGAACTAATATTTTTATGTAATAATAAATACTCTGATATATTGTTTCTTACACTTTATAGTTTAGTTTTCATCTTCTTTACTTTTACAATTTGTTCTGGTTTAATATCAGTCTTTTAAAAAGAATCCACCATCCAATCAGAATAATCACTGGTATTGAAATTGAATAATAATACTTTGGTTGTTAAGCAAAAAAATCTTTGTTCTTTTCTAATGCATATATCAAATATCTAGTTTGAATTGGAAGACAAACTTCTACCATTTAATCAAAATGGTTTCTAGCTGCATCATTTCTTTCTTAACTATTTGAATTAGTTCTATATCTTAAGGCATCCAAAATCATTCCTATTTCCATATTATCTTTATTTTTAATTAAATATGTTTCTAATTTATCAAACAATAATTATTATTATTCTAAAAACATTTAAAACTAATTATTTATAAAATATAATACTTTTTCTTAAGATTTATTACAAATTTCTGTATATTTTTATTAATTTTAAATCTATTATTTTAATGAATCAACTTCTATCTATAATTCTTATGCTTTCACTTCCAATAATTCATAATAAATCTTCTTTCTTGCTCTAGAATTTCTAGCTGATTCTCTATTTTTAGCTAATTTCTATTATATTGGATCTTAATTAGGATCATTACTATTTTATTGATTAAAATCTGATGATAAATCTGAATGATCCCTTTATATATTAGGTGATTTCCTTTATAATTTTTATTGACTTTTTCTAAAATATTATATAATTTAAATGATTACGATATATGAGTATGTTATTAATTTCTATTTTATACATTTAATTTCTATTAGGTCTATTCAACTAACTAAGTTATTTTATTTGTATAAATGCTCTTTGATATATTAACATTAAAGAGATTCTTATTTTCTTCAATAATATTTTGATTAATTTCTGGTTTAAAATTGTTACTGATTTATTATGCAGATTCTATAATAGACATAGATATGAATATAGATTATTACATATTTTCATTTCAAAATCATTTGATGATCTTTAACTGTTTTTTTGCAATTATTAAGCATCCTCTTCAACTTTCTATTGCTAATCAATATTTAATCTATCCATTCTAATCTCCTCAAATTACATTTCAAAGTCTCCACTGCTTCTAAAAAATACTCCTTTTTAATTTATAGGTTCTTAATATTCATATATTTAAATAGGAACTTATCCTTCCTCTAAACCAACTGATGATCTGTATTGATCTGGTTGTACCAAAAATGAAACAGAAACTTAAGCAAAACTGCCTCCTCCATTATTTGATCCTATACTTTATTTGTCTTATGGAGCAATTCTTCCAAAACTAGCACCTAAACTAAAATTCAATATTTATTTAATAATTATACGCATCAAATTAACTTCCATAAGAGACTCCACTTTTATTACCCTAAAAGATATCACTCATTTTTCAATTTTAATATATATATATATAATTTATTTCTAAGAATAAACAATTGAATGGATAATGTAATAAATGAACAAATAAGATCTCAATGTCCTCTATTAATGTTTTAAGATTTGAGTCCTAGATTAAAAGGACCTTTATATTATAAAAGGCTTCATAAAAAATCAAATGAGTTTATTATAACAAATGAAACGCATAATAAGTGTTCAGATAAGGTTTGGAGAATATAAATGAGACCATTATTAATACCTGATTTAATGGGGAAGAGTTAAATTCAATTTACAAGATATAAATGTTTACATGGTTAAAAGAATCATAGATCTTAAAGTTGTGATGAAAAGATTTATGGTTCATATGGAAGCAAGTGGCGTAGATTAATTTCTTAAGGTTTGTTTTATGTTAAACAATTAAGACATAAATAAATTATATATCGATTTAAGATATATGTGAGAGCAGTTTAACTCATTTTAGCTTACTTTAAATATAAGAAAATAAGAACATAACACTAAAAGAATAGTAAAAGAATCTCTAAACCAAGAGTCTCAATTGCAAAACCTAGAAAACAATCAGGATAATCCACATTAATTTCACTACCTCAATTTTATTAAAATGATGCTTTATAAATGTTGCATCAGTTACAAAATGAATCTAGATCTGAAATTCATAGTCCTTAATCTTAATTTGATAGATAAAAATAAAAAACTTTATCTTAAATGAACTTCGATAACTTCTTAAAAAGACCAATATAACAATTTATAAAAAACAAGAATCTTTCTTCATTATCAGAACATAAATCAGCATAACCTAGTAAGAGAACTTGTAAAACAGAATACAGTTTAAAACGATTTGCCAGTATGTAATCACTTCATCGTAAACTATAAATGTCATAAGCATATCAAACATAACACTGATACTAGTTGATATAATTTGATAATAAAAATGTGAAACTTTCTTATTTCTTATAATATTATTCAAAAATTGATCATTTATGATTAACTCTAATTCTTGATGAAAATATGATATTGCATAATTTTTAGATTGTCATTTCCTTATTATTTTCATAAAGTTTCTTTTATTATTAAATATCTTAATTTTTTTATCTTTATTTGAATTGTATTTATAATTTATAAAGCATATCTGCTTTTGAAGCTGACATTGTATTTCTTCTACTTTAAATATTATTTTAAGGAGTAACTTGATTAGAATATAATTATTTCCATTCTACTCTTTAACTTAAATTAATTATAGTTTGAATTTCCAATTTATCATATGATCTCTTTTTATTTTCAGATGATTATCTTGGACTAATTAAATTAGGTGTATGTAAAGTAGATCTGGAAATAGTATAAGGAGAAGTATTTGTAGTTCGAGTTGAATTGAAATGACAACTTGTACATTATTTTAGAGAACCTTAATTTTATTATTTTATTGGAGATCCCTTCATTGTAGGTGAATTACTTTTCCATTTCTTTACTTTCTCTCGTTTTGAATCTTCTCGAAATATACGATCTATAAGTTTTTAATTAAAGTCTGAATATTTTCGAATAGCTTAGGTTTTAGGGACAGCTTTATCCTAACTTTAATTTTCAAGAGGTTCCTGAACTGAACGATTAGTTCCATTATCTAAAAATGATGATCTTGGAGATTATGGATCCTCTTATTAATTATAAATTTACTTATTAATTACGAGTTTAGAATTCATAAATAATAGGTATAACTGCTGAATTTTAATTTGATTAGACAGCTGGTCTCATCATAGTAACACCACCTCTAAGTTAAAGTTATTAATTTCTATTTGGTCCTCCTGCCATTGTAACTTCTTTTTTAATCATCTTCTTCGTTGCAATGACCTTTGGACTTAATAAATTGGGAGGAGATTATGTTACTACTTTTTGCATCCAAGGATGTCTGATCACTTAATATGCAGAGTATCTCTGATTCTGATCAGGATTAAGCATATTAATTATTAGATCCTTATATTCTTTAGTTAAAGTGAGAGAAGGAGGGAATGAGTAATTGCATTTCAAGATATTGTCAATAGTTTATTCATCATTTTTGGAAGTAAAAGGTAAGTTACCACAAACTAAAGCATATAATATGACTCCTAGAGCCCAAATATCAATAGATGGTTTTATTTCAATAGCTTAACCACTCATCAATTCAGGTGGCATGTAACTTAATGATCCTCTATCAACTTTATCAATAGTGAAATTTGTTGATACTGTGGCTATACCAAAATCAATAATTTTAATGATTTTCTCAATCTTAGATGTCAATAATATATTTTCTAATTTCAAATCTCTATGTATTAATCGTTTATCATGACAATATCTAATGGCTTCAGCAATTTGTCTAAAGATTATTCTGGCTTCTTATTCTGACAATCCTCCTTTTTCTAATGCTGAGTCATAATAGGATTACCTTATAAATACTCAACTAAATCTCCTCCTTAAAGAAACTCCATTATCAAAACAACTTGCATATTAGGAAGAGTGTAACAATTTAATATTTTGACTATGTTATTATGTCTTAGGTTCTTCATCACTTCTGCTTCTCTAAATACTAAATCAATATCTTCGGCATTCCATAATTTGCCTGAATCAATTAGTTTAATTGCCACTTATTCTCCTGAAATTTTATGTTTACCCAACATAACCTTACCAAATCCTCCTTCTCCAAGCACTTTCATTATTTAATATACACTTATTTAAGAGTAAGCATCAAATTCACTACCTATTCAAATTATATTATAATTATACTATCCGATACATACAGTAATGTTCCTTCTTTTATAAATAGTAGATCCTCTTCAAAAATTTCAACTCCTTATTAAGTGTAGAGTCTCAACCATGATATCTTCATTTTAAAATGCTTCTCCATTTTCTTCTTAATATCATGCATTGTTATTTGTCCCTTCATGAATGACAACAGACAAATACTTGGAAGAACCTGAATTTGATGATTTCAGCATCAGCCTATCCATTTAAAGTTAAGAGAATGTGTCTTTTCTTATCCCCTTATAGAGAATCATTCAATTCAAAGTCCATTAATTAATTTAATGGATGATATATAAGTGAAAGTTTTTATCCCAGAAAAATCTAAGGTAGCAACACCAAAAAGAGATCGCAAATTAGAACATTAATAAAGGAAACTCAAATAAGAATAGAAAAAATAAAAATATTTTGACAAAATCCATCAAAATAAACAAAATGATTAATAGCCACAACATTAAATTGAAAATCAAGAAGATCAACAAATCAATTAAACAAATGATAAAAAACAATAATAAAGAAAACCAAGAGTGCCTATGAAATAATTAGTTATCCATTAGAAACCACAAAGTGTTACTTTACCATAAATTAATGTCGAATAAGAAGGTGAAGTCTTTACTGAATAATATTTTGAAGACCTCAAAATTCATCCTAGTGTCAAATTGGGATTAAAATCAAGTGAATATATTAAAATGACTAAAATCTAATAACTAGCCATTCCTATCATAGATACAAGTAATTATTTATTTCTATTTTATTAGAAGCTAATACATTTATTAAATCTGAAACAGGTTCAGGTAAGACACTTGCTTATATGGTACCACTTATATCTCATTTAATGAATTCTGAAGTCAGAATTACTAGAGAATAAGGAACTTATATTTTAATTGTTTGTCCAACAAGAGAACTCTCTTTATAATGTGTTGATGCAGCACTCAAAGTAGGAAAGAAATGTCCTAACATAGTTGTAGGTGCATTGGTTGGTGGAGAAAATGCAAATCATGAAAAAGCTAGACTCAGAAAAGGTGTAACAATTGTTGTTGGTACTCCTGGTAGAATATTATATCATATTTAAAATACACAAAGTTTCAAATTTTCAAATATACATACTTTAGTTTTTGAAGAATGTGATAGAATTTTAGATATGGGATTTTAAAAGGATATTGAATAATTGATTTAATTATTTAGTGATAAAATTGATATTCCATCTTGTTAAAAAATCATGGTTTCAGCACATGTCAATTAAAATATTTGTTAAATTAAAGGATTAGAAATTACACCTAAAAATTATAAATTTGTAGGATTCTCAAAATAATTTATTAAAGATACTAAAAATAAAGATATTGAAATAAATGAAGATAATTAATAATGTGATTGGCTTGGAGAAGGTGATCCTACATGGTAAATTCCATCAACTCTTAAGTAATATTATACTCTCATTTAAGAACATCAAAAATTGGCATTTCTTTTTGCATATATTCGTACATAAATAGGTAAGAAAACTATTATCTTTGTATCCACTTGTGATGAAGTTGAATTTTATTCATTTCTTTTTTAATAAGTTTAATATTCTAATCCTTTTAAGAATGAAGAATAAAAACATGTTGAAGAAGAAGAAGAAGAAAAAAAATAAGCATTTATAACATAAGAGGTCTATAAATTACATGGAAATATTGAATAATAATAAAGATCTAAAACTTATTTCAATTTTAAGAAAAGCAAACATTAAGATGGATGTGTTCTAATTTCAACTTCTGTAGCATCAAGAGGTTTGGATTTTCCTGATGTAACTAATATCTTAGTTTTTGATCCACCAGATTCTTATGATGATTATGTTAATAAAGTAGGAAGAACAGCAAGAATTAATAAAAATGGTATCAGTCTTATGGTACTTTTTGAAAAGTATTTATTTTATTTTTAATCTAAGTCTTGAATCACAATAATTTATTGAAGAAATCTAATCTCATTTAGCAGCACCTCTTAATCTAGTTGAATCAGAATAATATTTTAAGGCATTTTAATATTATTTATTTGAAACAAAGAAGATTCATGATAAGATGCCTGATAAATTCTTAGCCTTAATGATTAAATAATTAATCAAACAGGATAAAGATTATTAATTACAATCAAGAAGGTTTAATTTATCATTCAATTTTTAGAGCTTATGTAAGTTTTCTAAGAGCATATGGAAGATTAAAAAGTTTTAAGATTAAGACTTTGAATTTACATAATCTATCTAAATCTTTTGCTCTAGAAAAAGCATTCTCTGAAGATACAAAAGATGATAGATATTAAAAAGATTTAAGATTTATAAATCGAGAGAAATTTAGATAAAGAGAAGAATAAGCAAATGAAACTAGATGGGATAGAGAAAGAAAAAAGAGAAGAGTAATGTCTTAGGCAGAATTAAGTAAAATGGAATTCATGTGATTTGTATATAAATAATAAAATAGTATCTATATATATATATATATATTTATTAATTAAAATCTCTATAAATAGCTATCATTTTAATTTAGTAAATAAAAATGAAGCAAAAAAAGAATCAAGAGTCTGCACCACAAAACATACACAATAAATCTGAATTAGGATGTCCTTAATTTATTACTTCTTTTAATTAATTAAATTAAATTTCTTATTGATAATCTATTCCTACAGAATCAAAAATGATTTTTGAGAAAAATTAAGACATTTCATCCAAAAATTCTCTATTTCCATTTTTTATAAACTTTTGTAATGTTTATTAACTTAATTTTACAACCTCTTAATATGATAATTAACCATCCTTATTAGAATCTGCAATTTTGATAAATAAATCTATTCTTTAATCCCTTGTTTTAGCTTATACAGAACTCATTAAATATAAAAATTATCCCCAATCCAAAAAACCAGAACAACGACTATCTATTATATCAAAGATTCCTCTTGCCATATTTTCTGCTTAATCTTAGATTGTTTCAATTCCATTTCTATAAACTTCATAAGTTATTCCTTGGACTTATAATTATTTACTTTTTATTTTCATATATCCTGAAATAAGATGTAATACTTTATAAAGTGAGAAAAAAGCATATAATTAACTTCTATTCAATCTATATTTAGCTTATAAAGAAGGAATATTTAAATGTAATAAAGGTGGTATTTTATGTAACATTTTCTTTTCTTATGGTACATAAGCTTTAGGTGTTTTAGAGTCTGGTGGGAATTATTTTCCCAATATTTTAGTTAATTTAGTACTTATTAAACTTGATGTAGATATTTATTTCATTTCAAGTGCTCTACTTTTAGGTGTTGGATATAAAACATTTTCATAAAAACGTATTATTTTTTCAATTTCTTCATTTTCTTTTGATAGATTTGATTTGAGTTTATTAATGAAATTGTCTAATTCATCTTAACATTTTTGCATATTATCTATAAAATATTATTCTTGTTCAGTTAAATAATGTCTAGGAGTAGAATTAGGAATATTAGTTTTATTATTATAGGATAAGTTTGATGGTTTATTTTATGAACTGAATGATTAATGAGTTGTTTTGAATTTACAATTTGTAATAATGAAAGGATCAGAATTTTAGCGACTAGTCATTTTGAAATTATCATAAACATTTTCTAAATCTTATATACCTTTTTATAGTATTCTAGATCTAAAACTACTTTAGGGTATTAAATGATCATAAGGATTATTATTGTTAATATGTTGATTTGAATTCAATAATGATTGTTTTCTTGATTTATCATCTGAAATATTATTGCTTATAAAACTAGTATCCATTTATATAATTTAGAATAATAATTTTTCATATTTTTTATCATATAACCATTAATTATTATCTTTTGTACTAACAAGATAAGTTTCAATACATTAATCATACATAGTAATCTAATTACCATTTAAATCATAAAAATAAAATTTTGAGTTTTTTAGTTGATTTAAATCAGAATATTGATTTAACTCTTTTTCCATCAATTTCTCTATCTTAATTTATTTTCCTTAAGTATAAAAACAATTAACTTTCTTACAGTTGATAGTGTAATGATTTGAAATATCATCTATAAAAACTACTTTGAATGCAATTAATTTGGATATTGTATTAGTTGGTTAAGATAGTTTTAAAAGAGGATTTCTCAATTTAATATTACCATTTCCTATTAATCTTGCCATTATTAATTAAAATAATAAATGGATTTACAATAAAAAATCTAAAAATTGATAGATCAAATGAGAGAGAATGTGAGCAAAGCTACAGGTAAAAGAAATGATAGTATTGATTATTAATTGCTTACTGATTTAAGGAAAACACATAGAGAATTATATAGAAGTATAGAAGGAAATAGACGTACAAATTAATTAGAAAAAGATTAATTGGATAAATAAACAATTAATTCTGAATGTTTGAAGTATTCTAAAACCTAATTACAAATGTAAATAGGATAATTTAAAGCCTTACAAACAAATAATTATAATTAAATAAGAAAATAACTTGATTTGGAGGGTAAGAATCCATTAGATCACAATAAAGAAATCTTACATAAATTAGAAATAGAATTAGAAGTAAGAAGAGAAAAAAAGAAAAAATATGAAGAAATTACAAATGAATTCGAACATCTATAATAACATTATGAATAAAAGAAATCCTAATATTTTGAAGTATTACCTGATTTACTTAAATAAACATAATCAAATCTCATACCTGCATTAAATATGTTTGAAATTCCTCATTTAGCACTTCCATCTCAATAAGAATTCTTTTAATAATTACCTTAACCATTACATTAAATTTATTAAAAATTACAAACTAAATTCATACAATTAGAAATCATTTCACATCCTATTGCAGATAGTATTTATAAATAATCACAATTTGAATTAAAAGTAACTATAGAATAAGGTATATTTGATCAAATTGCATTAAATTATTTAGGAGTTAAATAAGATTCATTTTATGAAAATATCTACCCTTTCTCTTTTAGTATTAGATACTTTACAACATTAGATAAGATAGTATTTTAAGTAGATAGAAAAAATCAAATCACATCAGAAGAACTCTTTTGTGGATTATTTTAAGGAGATCCTGGAGAACCAATATTTGTTAATGCAAAGAGTGATGAAGAAATTAATATTAATACTAAGTATATGACATTTAGATGGGCTAAATTATTGACTGGATTTGAATTGAGTGCTTAAGAATTCTATCTACAATTATAAAAAAGAATATACAATATACAATTAATCAAATTATAATTGTAGAAATTATAAAAAAATGAATTACTTTCAAATTTTCCAGGATTGAATTTTGAATAAAGATATTAAATAAAATATTTTGGTAATTCATAAATCAATGATGATACTCCTTTTTGGTATAAGTTTTGTTTAGGAGAAAGTTTAATTTATAAATAAAATAAGGATACTACATTATTAGTTGAAGATAAAACCTTATAATCATATATATAATTAAATTATAGATTTGAAGGTCAAGCTGAACATCTTCATGACTGTTACAAAATAGTATTAGCTAAGGATGACTAATAAATAGAAATAGGTATCATAGTGCCTCTAAGTTATCCTCAATAGTATAAATTTTATATATAAACAGGTCAGTACGATATTAGATTTTATCAACTTAAAATATTAGTATTTCACAATATGAATTTTTCATTATATGTAAAAATTTGGGAAATTGTTTAATAGAAGGACTTTAATTGTCATATTAAATATTAAGAATTATTTAATAATTATCAGAAAGAAGATAAAATATGTAATATTTTTTAAAACATTAATGAGAAGTGTATTATTAATTTAATTTATCCATAAAATAATTATATTAATTTTTAATCCTATTTTTACTATATATAATAAAATCTGAATTTTCAATTCTAGTATAAAGGAGGAAATAATCATCTATATTATTTGTTTTTAATTTTTTATTCAAAACAGAAGTGATTCTTTGATCTATTAGAAATCTTAAACTAATTGTATTTTTTATCAATTAAGATTAAATTTTACATTGTAAAAACTTAAATAAACAAATTGAATAATCATATACTTTTCAATAGGATGATGTAAGTATTCATATAATATTAATTAGTTAATATTTTATTATTATTTAAAACATTTTATCAAATTTGATATATTTTGTAAATTAAATGGAATATAAATTTTCAAATTTTACGATAAATAGATTATAAAAGATTTAAAATTCTTTATAATATATATTCCTAATAAATATATATCTATATAGTCTAATTAATATATATTAATTAGTTTATGAAGTATGAATTAGTTTATTAAATAAGAATTAACAAAATATTTTATTAATTCAAATAGATAGTTAATTTATGTTTCCTTTATATATATATATAAATATATACTAGATAATGACTATATGAATATATTTTAATTAGATAGCAATTACAGAATTGTAAATTTTTAGAAAGAATATAAAAAATAAAAGTAAACATATATGGTTTTGATATCTAACCCCCTTTACAAGTAATATTTTGTTTGAAATAAAATCATTATTTAATTTAAAAAAAATGGATTAGAATGAGGAATAACAATCCCCAATGCAATCTCCTCAGCTTGATCCTATTGATTTACCTGATTAGTCATCACCTCGTCAGCCAGAATCCCCAAAAATGGATAGGGGATCTCCTGATCATGCTAGTCAAGTATCTGAAGATATCGAAGAAATCATTCCTGAGGAAGANTTAGATTTTATCAACTTAAAATATTAGTATTTCACAATATGAATTTTTCATTATATGTAAAAATTTGGGAAATTGTTTAATAGAAGGACTTTAATTGTCATATTAAATATTAAGAATTATTTAATAATTATCAGAAAGAAGATAAAATATGTAATATTTTTTAAAACATTAATGAGAAGTGTATTATTAATTTAATTTATCCATAAAATAATTATATTAATTTTTAATCCTATTTTTACTATATATAATAAAATCTGAATTTTCAATTCTAGTATAAAGGAGGAAATAATCATCTATATTATTTGTTTTTAATTTTTTATTCAAAACAGAAGTGATTCTTTGATCTATTAGAAATCTTAAACTAATTGTATTTTTTATCAATTAAGATTAAATTTTACATTGTAAAAACTTAAATAAACAAATTGAATAATCATATACTTTTCAATAGGATGATGTAAGTATTCATATAATATTAATTAGTTAATATTTTATTATTATTTAAAACATTTTATCAAATTTGATATATTTTGTAAATTAAATGGAATATAAATTTTCAAATTTTACGATAAATAGATTATAAAAGATTTAAAATTCTTTATAATATATATTCCTAATAAATATATATCTATATAGTCTAATTAATATATATTAATTAGTTTATGAAGTATGAATTAGTTTATTAAATAAGAATTAACAAAATATTTTATTAATTCAAATAGATAGTTAATTTATGTTTCCTTTATATATATATATATAGATTAAAAGAAGTATTTATGTATGAATATATTTTAATTAGATAGCAATTACAGAATTGTAAATTTTTAGAAAGAATATAAAAAATAAAAGTAAACATATATGGTTTTGATATCTAACCCCCTTTACAAGTAATATTTTGTTTGAAATAAAATCATTATTTAATTTAAAAAAAATGGATTAGAATGAGGAATAACAATCCCCAATGCAATCTCCTCAGCTTGATCCTATTGATTTACCTGATTAGTCATCACCTCGTCAGCCAGAATCCCCAAAAATGGATAGGGGATCTCCTGATCATGCTAGTCAAGTATCTGAAGATATCGAAGAAATCATTCCTGAGGAAGAATGGGAGCAGATGAAATAGGAAGCTGTTGCTAGAGGAGAGATAGAAGATCCACCTAAAACTCGAGTAATCAAACGAAAGGTTCACAAAAGAAAATCAACAGTGTTATTGTAACTGTAGCCAGCTAGTGTTAATGGTATAATTTATATATTATTTAGATTATGGTGGATTTTATGTGAAAAATAAATTGAATGAATACTTAGATTCATATGATGATGATAAGTGGTAGAAAGATCCAAATGAAATTTTATCAGTAAATTTTATGTGTAAACATGGATAAGCAAATTTATTTGCTTGGATGACTGAATAAGGAATTTAAATGAGTGAGGTTGATCCACCTAGATTAGAACCTGATGCATTTGATCCAGATTTTGTATATTTTTTGAAACTGCCACATCCATAAGATGTAGTAATAAGTGGTGATAATGTTGCTGAGTATGTCAGTGATGGTGTTATTAAGATAAATTACTTAAAATCATTATTGAAATAAATGAATGCTTAATTCATTCCATAATTTATTTAAGATTCTACTTGGCCTGAAAATGTAAAAAAAGAATTCTTGGCTCAATTACATAAATTTATGGCAACTCTAACAGAATATTCATTTAGTCAAGAAGGTATTACAGAATTGTATATACCTAATGAAGATTTGAATAATATTGAATAAGCTTCACATGATAAAGATTTATTATAAAGATTAGAAGCAATATTATTACATTGGTAAAGATAAATAAAAGATATTGTGAATAATTAAGAATTAGCAATTGAGAATGAAAATGCTGGTCCACTTGATGAAATTGCTTATTGGAGATAAAGAAAGAATAATTTATCACATATTCATGAATAATTGGAAAAACCAGAATTGAAAAGAATTATTCAAATTCTTAGTGATAGTTAATATGTCTAAAGTTTTAAAGATGTTACTGAAAATATCAAATTAGGATCTAGTTAAGCTGAAGACAATTTAGAAAATTTAAAGATTTTATATGAACCTTGTAAATAATTAGAAACAGCTACACCAAAAGAGATTCCAGAATTATTACCTAATTTATTATTTAGAGTTAGATATATATGGGAGAAATCTAGATATTTTAACACACCTGAGAGAATTTAAGGATTGATTCATAAAATTTCAAATGAAATTATTAAGAGATGTAAATCTAGTATAAATATAAATGATATGTTGGATGGTGATGTTGAAAAATGTATTTAAGATTTGAATGATTCAATTGAATGTGGAGAATAATGGAAGAAGATTTATTAAAGAATGTCAGTTGCAATAGAGAAAATGTCATCTTTAACAAAAGGACCTAAATGGGATTTTAATAATTCTATATTTGCTTAAGTTGATGCTTTCATATCACGTTGTAAAGAGTTATTAGAAATATGTGAGGGTTAATTATAATTTGCTAGAAAAGGAGCTGGAAGTCATATTCCATAATTTGGTGGTAGTAAAGGTTAAGAAATTGAAGATAATCTTGAATAAATAAAGGATAGTTTTGCAAAACATTTGAAACCTATTAGAGATATTCGTAAAACTGATAAAGATAAGATATTGGATGTAAAAGCATCTAAATGGCATGATGTTTTTAATGCATTTCGTAATGGAGTAAAGGATTTAGATGTTATGTATACTAATATTATTAATAATGCTTTTGAGAGTATGACAACTGTTTAATAAGGAGTTGAATTATTAGAAGCTTTTGATTAATTAGCTAAAAGATAATCAATTAAGAGAGTTGTTTAAAATAAAGCTATTGTAGTTTTAGAACTATTTATATAAGAGATAGATGCTACAAAACATGAATTTGATAATATAAAGAAGATTCAATATTATCCATTATAACATGGTTCATTTTCTGGATAAGCAATTTGGGTTAATTCATTAAGTCATAGAATAATGAGAATGAGATATTGGATTGATTAAATGTATTTTATTGATGATTCAATAAAAAGAACAGCAATTGAGAAATTTGAATAATTATCATCAAATCTTAAATAATTTATAATAGAATCTAGATTAAAAGAATGGAAAGAAGATTGTAAAGATCTTGAAGATATAGTATTAACAACTAGATTAGATAAATAAGTATTATTAAGAACAGATGAGAAACATCCAGATTTTTAATATAAAAAAGAATCTTTAAAACCTAAGATTGGTCATTTAGAAAGTAATTTTGATAGATAATTATTAAAATTATTACATGAAACATCAGCTTGGTAAAAATTAATAGCTGTTGGTGTTGTAATACCAAGTTATGCTAATGATTTTACTTAGAATCATAAAGAAAGTTTAAGAGTATTAAGAGAATTAGTTATGTTAGTAGTAAGAGAATATAATAATATTATTGATTATATGACAGAGACTGAAAAGAAATTATTTGCTCAACATTTAGAGACAGTAAATAAAGTAATATAACCATTGGCATCACGTTTAAGATGGAGTGCAAAGACAATTATTGATAGTTAAGTTAGAGATTGTCGTAGAGCATGTTAAGAGATGTTTTTGAAATTGAAAATGTTTAAGACAAATATGGATAAAATAGATGGTAAATGTAATGAGATAGCTAATAAATTATTAATAAAAATAGATCGTAAAAAATAATATGATCATAAATCATTTGAAGAAGAATAAGAAAAACATAGAAGAGATATGTATTAAAAATTAAAATAAATATTTGATGAAATAAGAAAAATATTATCAGAAACTTATGATCCATTTTTATTTGATAGAATAGAAGTTTAAACAGTATGGTTAAAATAAGTTAAATCTATTGATTATAAAATTAAAGAAAGTTATGAAAAAGCTGTTAAGAATTCATTAATTGATTTATAAAAAGTTATTGGTTCAGAAGATGGTAAAATTACTCCTGTTCCAATATTTAAATTATCAGTAGAATTAGAAAATTAATAATAAGAATATCGTCCATCAACTAATTATTTAAAATAGATGGTCTCATAAACATGTGAATATATGAGAGAAATTATGAAAGATTTTAAAAGTATGGATGAAGTAATGAAAGAGGAAAGAAAAAAGAAATTAGATGAAGCTATCTTATTAAATTCAAAAGATTCTAAAAATCCATAAGCTTAAAATATTAGAAGAATGAGTGAAATATCTTAAGTATAATAATAAGAATAAGAGACTTAGATTTCTGTTAGAAGTTTAGATAATGAATAAAATATAAAAATTAAAAATGATAGTGATGGTTTAATATAGAAAATTAATAGTAAATTAAGTAAAACTTGTGATGCTTTAAATTCAGTAGATGCTCATGGTTAATGGAAACGTTATGATTGGTATTGGTAATAAGCAAATTAGAAAGAGAAATTTATTAAAGATATGATTAATAGAAATGATCCAATAACTAATATTAAGACTTAATTAGAAACTTTTGATTTACATTAAGGAGAAATCTAATAATTAGAAACTACAAAAACATAAGATTGTATTATTTTAGATAATACTTCAATAAAATCTACTTTAATTGATATTATGATTTCTTGGTAAAATGCTTTCTTGAATGCAACTTAAGATAAAGCATTATAAGATTTGAATTAATTATATTCTTTATTTTAAACATCTGAAACAAATTTAGATATTGTTCCTTAAGATTTATAATAATTAAAGAAAAGTAGTGATCTTTGGAATAAATTAAATGAAGATAGACCATCTATTGAAGCTAAATTAGGTCCATTAGAAGATAAATTTAAATTATTGGAAGAATATTCAATATAATTAAAAGATGATGATATTACAAGAAAGAATAATTTAAGAAATACTTGGGCTAATTTTAATGTAATGTTAGATAGAATTTAAGAGAGAAATCGTAAAGTTCATAATAATTTATATTTAGAAACTTAAAAGAATTTAGATGAATTCATTAAAGAAACTGGAGATTATAAAATTGTATTTTAAAGTAATGCTCCATATTAAGCAACA